TTGACAGGAATTTATCAGTGATTGCCCACCTGCTCAGCATGAACTAGGCCAGCCTTTGAGTACTATAATGGGAGAGAGTATTCAGGTCACAAAAGTGCAAATTTGCAGAAGCATAACTTCCTCTGTGATTAGAAGAGAATTCTAGTAATTGCTAGAGGATTTCACCTTTAACATCCACAGCAGGGAACTCTTTCAGATGTTCCCAGATGCAAGACACAAAGTCCGGGATTTGACTTTCCTTTTGTTTTTCCTTTTCATTAAGTTTATTGGGGTGACACTGGTTAACAACATTATACAGGTTTCAGGTGCAAAATTCTATGACATATCATCCATACACTGTACTGTGTGTTCACCACCCCACGTCAAGTCTCCCGTCGGTCACCATTTATCCGCCCTATACCCTCCTCCACCTCCCCCAAAACCCATCCCCCCACAATCACCACGTTGTTGTTCTTTTTGGTTTTTTGTTGTTGTTTCTTAACTTTCAGATGTTACTCCCAGGCATTTCCTGCCCTCTGCCTTGAGAACAAGGGCTGAGAGTATTGTTCTGTGTACTCTAATCTTTCACAAAGAAGCTGATCACTCTATGCCTCAGATCTAATGGAGTGCATCCCACAAGCATCTGTAGATCAAGGCACTCACATCCCAGCTTCCAGGAGTATAGGCTGCTGATAGGTCATAGCTGAGTTTCCCTCCTGGGATCTGGGAGCCACCTAACCCAAAGTTATGGCCCTCCCCAGTGGCAGTCCACATCCAATGACTGGTTAAGGAAGGGGAATAGGGAGGGGGAAAGGACCAATCCTCGTACTTTAATTGGAGACAGTTCTAAAGAACCATCTAAACTCCAGAACTTGTTTATTGCAACTACCAGACAGTTTCAATCTCTCCCTTTGCCTAATCCTACTTCTTTCAATGCCCCCACATCCAATTCTTGAGAGCATTTGTCAATAAAATTGGCTCATGCAAATCCATCTCAAAGTCTGAACTAAAGCAGTAGAAGTCAGAGTGCTCCTAAAAAGCAGATTCTAAAATAGAAAATATAGTCAATAATAATGTAATAACTATATATAGTGCCAGGTGGGTACTGGAAATATTGGGGGAAACGCTTTGTCTAGCCACTATGCTATACACCTGAAACTAATAGAAAATAATGTTGTATGCAAACTGTAATTGAAAAAAATTAAAAACTTAAAAATAATAAAATAAAATGAGATTTTGGAGCTGAATCATCTGCTGATAGCTAGCAGTAAATACCCCATCACTGGTAATAGGTGGAGTGCTAATATCCTCTAGCACAGTGGTTCTCAACCTTGGATGCACATTAGAATCACCTGGGAATCTTTTTAAAATCCTGATTTCTGGGCCTCATCCTCCGAAAATTCTTTCTTTGTTACTAATGTTGTGGCCCCACCCCACAACAAAGAAACAGAATTTCCGGAGTTGGAGGCCCAGAAATCAGGATTTTAAAAAGATTCCCAGGTGATTCTAATGTGCAGCCAAGGTTGAGAACCACTGCTGTAGCAAACTATAGCAATGCAATTATTAAGACTTTCACTCAAAGGCTGGGAAAGGAAAGCACTAAAGGCTACAGGTAATATCTCAAGCTTTTAAGAGATTTGGGGGAAGTAGTACAAAATTATGGGAACTAGGAAAGGAATGGCTGTGGCTAAGGGCTATTAATTCATTGGAAGAAAACAATGAAAAAAATGGAGATAATTAATCACCAATGTAAGGTAATGTGTGACAGCCAGAGGGATTCGTTGGCAGCACATAAAGAATCTCTGCTCTACTGTAGGTGAAAGGCCAAGAAAGCTGAGGTTCTTATCCAGAACTGAATGATAAAGTTAGCAGAATTCTGGAGCAGGTTAAATTCTAAAATAGGCAACTCTGCAATGTCAAGACCAAAACCTGGATTTAGTAAGTCTGGAATAGGAATGTCTAGATTTATGCACTTAAAATTCTTGAATACCCAGATTCTCTTGACCGTTCTGGGCTTATTGGTAGTGGTCTATTCCTCCCTGTTAAAAACCAGCATTTCCCCCCTTACTTGAAGACAATGCAGAGACTTGTGCCTTTCAATACAACATGTCTTTCTCAAGATCTACCCCATCCTGTATGGACCTCCAGTAACTGAAGACGATGTCAAGAATCCATGAGGAATCACCGTGCAATACCAAGAGGAACATTACATGCTAATAATTCGACCAGTCCCTCCCACCCCCCGCCTTTTTTTTTTAAGGAAACCTGTGACCATTTACTCAGGTAATTATACACTGGAGAAAGAGAATACCCAGAAACTTCAAGACTATATTTATTATTCAGGAGCCCAAAGTCATCTGGGACTCCATGTCAGAATGAGGACACATGGTAATAAATAGATTTTTAGGTCCAGTTTACAATGGGTGCAACAGGGCCATGGAACAACCCAGTAATCATTTCCTCTATCCTTCACGTTATGTTGGAGTATGCAAACATGGCAGTTAGCAAACCCCATCCCCTAACTCAGGTTGGTGTCTTGGCCTCTGGAAGTAAGAGCCATCAGTGGGAAAGACCAAGTGGATGCCTCTGCCCAGATTTGACAGTAAATTGTTAGGCTGCTGCATGGCCTGAAAAAGACTTGGGCAAGATCACTCACTAGATAAGCTGTCTAAATTAGCAAAAGTGATAACTAAGGGTGAAGAGAACCCAGGATGGGTAGAGAAGAGTAAGGCAATAAGTATCAGGTTAGCCTCAAAACCAGTTCCAGTATTGGCACTGCTTTTTTTATTATTATTTATTGTCTAAAGTTTTACATATATCTCCTTTTTCCCGGATTGACCCCCCGCCCCTCACCATTCCCACCCCCAAGGGCAAGCCCCACCACCCCAGTGTCTGTGTCCATTGGTTAGGCTTATATGCCTGCATAAAAGTCCTTTGGTTGATCTCTAACCGCCCCACCACCACCCCTGCCATTTGTCTCTGGATCTATTTTTATTCATCAGTGTATGTTGATCATTATATCCCACATATGAGTGAGATCATGTGATATTTATCTTTCTCCGACTGGCCTATTTCGCTTAGCATAATGCTCTCCAGTTCCATCCATGCTGTTGCAAATGGTAAAAGTTCCTTCTTTTTTATAGCAGCGTAGTATTCCATTGTGTAGATGTACCACAGTTTCCTAATCCACTCCTCTGCTGATGGGCACTTAGGCTGTTTCCAAATCTTAGCTATTGTAAATTGTGCTGCTATGAACATAGGGGTGCATATATCCTTTCTGATTGGTGTTTCTAGTTTCTTGAGATATAGTCCCAGAAGTGGGATCACTGGGTCAAATGGGAGTTCCATTTTTAACTTTTTGAGGAAACTCCATACTATTTTCCACAGTGGCTGCACCAGTCTGCATTCCCACCAGCAGTGCACAAGGGTTCCTTTTTTTCCACATTCTCGCCAACACTTGTCCTTTGTTGATCTGTTGATGATAGCCATTCTGACAGGTGTGAGATGGTATATCATTGTTGTTTTCATTTGCATTTCTTGAATGATTAGTGACTTTGAGCATGTTTTCATATGTCTCTTGGCCTTCTGTATGTCCTCTTTCGAAAAGTGTCTATTTAGGTCCTTTGCCCATTTTTGATTGGATTATCTTCCTTTTGTTAAGTTGTATGAGTTCTCTTTTATTATATATTTAAATAATATTACTTTGGGTATATTGCACTAAAGAAAATATATCATTAACTTAATTTTAACTTTTTTTAGTGTGGCTACTTGAAAATGTAAAATAACATGTGGCTCATATTTGTGGCTTGAATTATATTTCTATTGGACAGGTTTGCTTTACAACATCTACATGCAACAAAAATTTCACCTAAAACCTTTAACCAATAGAAAGCCATCAGTTGCTAAATACATGTGATTTAGCCAATAGAGTAACAGCTATTTAAGTGGCCATGGTCTGCTAGGCAGAAAAGTGCATAATGCAAGCTAAGGAGAAACTAAAAACGAAAAACATTCTCCCAGCTGACTCCTTTCTTCCTCTTTATAGGCCTGGCATGAATAGCACCCATAAAGCAGGACAGGAGACTGCAGAGATCTGATTATTTCATAATTCTAACAGATCATGAGAATCTTTCCTAAATGCTTTGTCTAAACTCAAAATCTATATCCAGATCACTTCATCAAATAATTATCTCTGCAGCAGTTGGTCCTGTTTCGATTGTAGAGAGTCCTGCAGATCTTCTTGCATGGAGGAAATAAATCTTAGAAACGAAAGCTCTAAATAAAAGATAGACATTGCATTTTAGAAACAAAGCTTAAAATAATGCAGTAACTACAATATTCAATCATCCACTATAAAATTATCTGCTGTAATCTCCACTTCTGGTTATGGATAGCTAAATAGGGATATATAAACAAACAACATCAAAGTGCCTTTTTGGCTAACTGCCACCCTGCCACTTCTGAACTGAAGCCAATTATAATGACATCACCCTAGCTTCATGTCCTTTACTGACCTTCCCACTTAGGTTGCCAAAATGTATTAAATTTCCCCTCCACAATTTGTCTTTTTCCCTTTGTCTTTGTTTCTTTAAATAATGACTTGACATCACTTGACCTCAACCTACAATTTTGGCTGATAATATCACTGAGCAATACACTCACATAAATGGCCTTGTGTAATCATCTGTTGTGTCTCAGGAAAATTCATGCAAGAAGAAATTGAATTTGTATGACATGCAACTGAAGAAAATTCTTTTAAATATTCTAAAAATCACCATAGGAATGAGTTTCTAAAGATCATGGTACTTGCCTGGCCAGCAGGCATGGCTCAGTGGTTGAGCATCGACCTATGAACCAGAAGGTCATGGTTTGATTCCCGGCCAGAACACATGCCCAGGTTGCTTGATCCCTAGTGTGGGGCCTCCAAGAGGCAGCCAATCATGATTCTCTCTCATCATTGATGTTTCTATCTCTCTCTCCCTGTCCCTTCCTCTCTGAAATCAATTAAAATATATATATTTTTTAATATGAAACGCTTCATGAATTTGTGTGTCATCCTTGCACAGGGGCCATGCTAATCTACTCTGTATCGTTCCAATTTTAGTATGTGCTACAGACGCGAGCACCAATTAAAATATTTTTTAAATATTCTAAAAATCAGACTTCCATATAGCTAAGATTAAATAGTCTATAAAGCTGTAGAAATCCAGTTTCTATGGTACTACAGTTATAAAAATATAGAGTTGTAAATCCACCTGCACATGTTTATTTTAGAACTTTTTAAGTAAAAGTCACCCTGCCCACTAAATTGAAAATGAAAGTGGTTTCCCTTTGGCCGAGGTCTTCAAACCTGATCGAAGTCTTGAATGTGTTTGAGAATCCACAAATATTAAGAAAGAAAACTATATAATTATTTATATTTTTGAAATAAAATTAATCCCTTTAGAATAGTAAAACAGGATGTTACTTTTCTTTTAAAATTATGACTCAGTTAATAAAGAATTTTTACTGATAGGGTACTTAGTAATAAAATGTGTGCTAAACTATATTATTGTGTTGACTCATCTGTGAATTCACACATGCTAATAAGTCAAGGATCATTACAATTGTTCAAGTATGAGGTTTTTCCCTTTGTTCAAATAAAAAAAAAATTCTTCACCTACACAGATAATTAAAAGACCTCAAGTAACCCTGCTCTTCCTTTTTGTACCCTCTGTACTTAGCGCAGTGCCTAGCACATATAATATATTAACTATATTACTGGGGGGTAGTCCCTGTGCCTTCTCGCAGTCCGGGACCCCTCAGAGGATGTCTGACTGACGTCCCTAAGCCAGCAATCAGACATCCCCCAAGGGGTCTTTAGCACTGCCGTGGAGACGGGAGAGGCTCCCACCACTACCGCTGTGCTCGCCAGCCATGAGCCCAGCTTCTGGCTAAGTGGCACTCCCCCTATGGGAGCACACTGACCACCAGGGGGCAGCTCCTGTGTTGAGCATCTGCCCCCTGTGTTGAGCATCACAGAGATTGGCCGTTTCACCGTTTGGTCAATTTGCATATTAGCCTTTTATTATATAGGATATATGTGCTCTGAATATATTAGTGTCAACTTTACAGAGTGCATTATCGTTAAAAGTAAGGGCTGTACTGTCAAACTCCTGGGTTCAAGTCCTGGCTCTGTCATTTACTGAGTGTGTGCCCTTAGACAAGTTATTTAATCTCTTCTATATTTTCTTATTTGAAGAATGGGTATGGTAATAGCCCTGGCCTCATTAGAATGTCATGAGGAATAATGAGTTGGTACATGTGAAACTTTTAGAACAGTATCTGAAGCATAGTTTAGAGCTCAATCAACTATAACTTTTATTAAATAGTAGCACTTACTTGTACTTTATAGTTTACAAGTTCTTTCACATATTATATTTACAATCTACAAAATCATGTGACCTAGGTAAGACAAGTACCTAGTACTCTTAGCCTGATTTAACACTGAGGAAACAAAGGCCCAAGGTCACACAATCAGAAAGGAGCAGAGCCAATATTTGAATCCAAGGTCTCTGAATCTAAATTCCAAATCTTTCCCACTATATACAGCTAAAAGGGATTCTTTGGATTATTTTCCTAATGGTGTCTGCAATATGAGTGTAGATATTTAATAATGCTAGAAATGTTGGGATTCACTACTCTCAGTAACCAAATTATGGCAGAGACATAAACATAATAAATGATCACTTTTTGTTGTTGATTTTCTCATTTGATCCTGGTAATTCTTAAGCACTAGTCTTGCTGAAAATGATAACATAGGTTGACAAGTTCTGCCTGCCCTCAAAGTTCATAGCCTAAAAAAAAAAATAGAATATATACACATGAATATATAATGTGGAGAGGAGTGTCGAACAAAAGAGCAGACAGCATAGAGAAGAGAAATGCTGAAAAAATATAATAGATTATCAGAACTGAGTGGATGCCTTGGTTTCCTTCCTAGGAAAGAAAGTTGTCATCTGATCTAATGCATGGCAGATCAGTGGGCCTTGTTTTCACCATATGTAAAACTGAAGTGTGGATCTCTAAGACCATTTGCAATTTCATATTATTATTATTATTATTATACTAGTGGCCTGGTACACAGATTCATGCACATTGAAAGGAAATTTCCTATTGTTTCATTCTGGGTTTTAGCAACATCTATTTTAGCTTTAGGTGCAATATTATCAAGTTTAAAAACCGCCACTGCCAAGTCACTGCAGGTCAGCAGTAAACAAAATTTGGGGCCAACAGTGCCCCAGCAACAACATAACCCATGGCCGAAGGTGGAATTGCACAGCCCCGTGAGGAATCGGCCTCCCTCCCTTCTGGTTCTGAGGTGTGTCACCTGAGAACCGCAGTTGCCAAGTCACCACAGCTCAGCAGTGACTGCATTGAGCATCTGCCCCCTGGTGGTCAGTGTGCATCATATGTACTGGCTGGTTGGACAGTCGGACAGTCACTTAGCCTTTTATATATATAGATACATTCACGTACCATTAGAAGAGTGTGAATGAGTAAAATCTTTTTGAGAACAATTTGCAAAATTGACAAACCACATACACATTGACCCAGCAAATTTACTGGAGCCATTTACTTCCATCTCTACTATTAGCCCTGATCAAAGCTGCCAGCATGCCTTTCCTGGATGACTACAACCCCCCTGCTTCCACTTGAGACCCACTACAATCCATTCTTCATAAGGCAACTGGAACAATCATCTTAAAACACAAATCAGAGTGCCCCTTTACACTCCTTAAAATCCCACAATGACTTCTCATTATACTTGGGAGAAAGTCCAAATTCCTTCCATGGCTTACAGAGCCCTGGGGATTTGCCTATGTTTCTGATCTCAGTCATACCACTTTTCTTGCACACCACACTTCGACCACTATAACCTTCTTTCTGTTCCTGTCTTTGTGTTTTGCACAAGCTATTCCTTCTGCCTCAAATGTGCTCTCTGCTCATCTGTTTAGATTTCAACTTAAATGTCACCTGTTGAAACAGGCTGAACCTGTGAGCACCTAACCAATCTCCAGCACATCACTGTTACTTTAATTATCTCACAGCACTATCATGACATGATGCTTTCTTAATAACTTATTCAACATTTTTATACACATATTTTTAACGTATTTATGTATGTTGCTATACTTTTTAGCATTTTTGTGTTTATTTTCCCCTTCCTCCACACACTGCAGAGAATTTAAGTTTATAAAAAATTGGACATTTGTATACACCAATAGTGAAATTACAGAAAGAGAGATTTTTTTAAAAATCACATTTACCATCGCACCAAAAAAAATTAAGCTACCTAGGAATAAACTTAACTAAGGAGGTAAAAGACCTCTACTCAGAAAACTACAGGACACTGAAAAAAGGGATAGAGGAAGACATAAATAGATGGAAGAACATACTGTGTTCATGGATTGGTAGAATCAACATCATCAAAATATCCATATGACCCAAAGCAATCTATAAATTCAACGCACTCCCAATTAAAATATCAACGGCATATTTCACAGACCTAGAAAAAACTTTCCAAAAATTCATCTGGAATAAAAAAAGACCCCCAAATAGCTGCAACAATCATGAGAAAGAAGAACAAAGTAGGTGGGATCTCAATACCAGATATCAAGCTGTATTACAAAGCCATTGTTCTCAAAACTGCCTGATAATGGCACAAGAACAGACATATAGACCAATGGAATAGAATAGAGAACCCAGAAATCAACCCAAACCACTATGTTCAATTAATATTTGACAAAGGAGGCAAGAACATTCAATGGAGTCAAGACAGTCTCTTCAATAAATGGTGTTGGGGAAATTGGACAGATACATGCAAAAAATGAAATTAGACCACGAACTTACACCATACACAAAAATAAACTCAAAATGGATAAAGGACTTAACCATAAGACGGGAAACCATAAAAATATTAGAGGAATCTACAGACAGCAAAATCTCAGACATATGCCGAAGCAATATCTTCACTAATACAGCTCCTAGGGCAATGGAAACTAAAGAGAAAATAAATAAATGGGATTACATCAAAATAAAAAGCTTCTGCACAGCAAAAGAAACCATCAACAAAACAACAAGAAAGCCCACTGCATGGGAGAACATATTTGCCAATGTTATAGCCGATAAGGGTTTAATCTCCAAAATTTATAGGAAACTCATACAACTTAACAAAAGGAAGATAAACAACCCAATCAAAAAATGGGCAATGGACCTAAATAGATACTTTTCGAAAGAGGACATAAGGAAGGCCAAGAGACATATGAAAACATGCTCAAAGTCACTAATCATCGGAGAGATGCAAATCAAAACAACAATGAGACATCTCACACCTATCAGAATGGCTATCATCAACAGATCAACAAATGACAAGTGCTGGTGAGAATGTGGAAAAAAAGGAACCCTCGTGCACTGCTGGTGGGAATGCAGACTGGTGGAGCCACTGTGGAAAATAGTATGGAGTTTCCTCAAAAAGTTAAAAATGGAACTCCCATTTGACCCAGTAATCCCACTTCTGGGACTATATCCCAAGAAACTAGAAACACCAATCAGAAAGGATATATGCGCCCCTATGTTCATAGCAGCACAATTTACAATAGCTAAGATTTGTAAACAGCCTAGTGCCCATCATTAGATGAGTGGATTAGAAAACTGTGGTACATCTACACAATGGAATACTATGCTGCTGTAAAAAAGAAGGAATTCTTACCATTTGCAAAAGCATGGATGGAACTGGAGAGCATTATGCTGAGTGAAATAGGCCAGTCAGAGAAAGATAAATATCATATAATCTCACTCATTTGTAGAATATAATGAACAACATAAACTAAAACAGATCCAGAGACAGAGAAGCATCTATCAGACTGTCAAACCTCAGAGGGAAGGTAGGGGAGGGTGGGGGGTAAGGGGGAGAGATCAACCAAAGGACTTGTATGCATGCATATAAGCATAACCAATGGACACAGACACCAGGATGGGGAGGGCATGAGTGGGGGGTTGGGGGGCAATGGGGGGACAAGGACACATATATACTACCTTAATAAATAAAGAAAAAAAGTCAAGAACAAAACAAGAAAAAATCTAT